ACCTCGATGGACAATGGGCTTAGGTATCGATACTACGACATTTAGGTACCGGTACCTAGCAAACAGCGGGTTCAGGAGCCGGTACCCCGTCACTTAGGTATCGGTACTTGGCAACTAGAAGGAACTTGAAAAATAAAGGTCCAGGTACCGGTACCCCATTATTCAGGTACCGGTACCCCATTACTGAGTTACCAGTACTTGATAGACAGAAGGCTCAAGTACCGATACCATGTGTAAGAGGCCGTTCCTCTTTCAAACTTTTCAAAAAAATATTTAAATATAACTTACTAAGCTTTCGGGCCTCGAGTCTTGTTTAAATGATGTAATTGGTTCAATATTCAGTGTAAATTCATGGGGATTGGACCTTGGAATAGTCAAGTAATTGATATGTGTACAGGTTATGCGTTTGGGAGTGCTCCGGTATAAGGGAAACTCTATCCAAACTATGTGTTTGTAACAATCCCGGTAAATGGGATGCGATGACGTGGTGTCTGGTTATGCGGTATTCACAGGTATTTATGCGGGTTGATGGGTGATCAACGAGTTGAGAAAGGACTCCTGGATTTAAGGGCGTCACAGTCGCAATGGAAGTACTTGTGTGCATTTGGTACTTAGAACTCAAAGATTGTGAGTACTTCATTACTGGCCACTTCAAACCTGCAATGAATGTGTAACGGTGTTGTTCAAGGCGTGTGTCTAGACCCAAAGCGTAGCAAGGTCCACTTGCGATTTGCCCATGCCTTGGCTAGCGTACTTTTGTAAGCAGTGTTATTTAAGGCGTAAAGCGAATTGAAGCGAACCGATGTCTTGAGGCTTAGGCGAGAAGTGACAAGCTAAGCGAGCGCTTCATTGAAGCAAAGCGAATAATATAAAAAATAAGCAAATATTTTAGTTTGATACTTTGATTACTCATAAATATTCAAGTTTTACCTTTACATTTACAAAATATTTAAATGCAACCAAAATAATAAATATCAACATATTTTAAATAGACAAGATATTAAATATTGAATATTATTGCATTAAAAAAAATAACCAATTGACATAATCACGTCATCTAAATGTAAAGCTAGCAAATGTGGGTTTGATTTTTACCGTGATTGATTAATATCACTACTAAATAGAGCACTCACAAATTAATTAATCAAATAGAGTATATAGCAAATTGATTAACAAGAGCATTCAATATCATCTAATCATAATAATATAGATTGTCATAAGTTACTGTTAGATGAATCAATCAATTATTTTATACATATACACATATAACATCATCTCTATTAGAGTTTGGTTAATGTTGAAGAAGAAGAAAAAAGGAGGGGGGAGGAGGAGAAAATAAAAGAACTACAATTAGGTGTTCATTTTTCTCGTCTGTCTCGCTTCGTTGCTTAGGCTCGCTTGTTCCTCGCTTTACTTAACCTCGCTTCACCTAGATGTTCAAGGCGACCAAGACTGGCTTTGCTTCGCTTCTTGCCTAGGCGTTCGCGTAGGCTCGCTTTTCATAACATTGTTTGTGAGGCGCATGCCTAGTGGGCTTTGGTGCAAGGCCCAAGAAGCTTTAGCAATTATGCTTTAGTGAAAATTTTTTGGTTGTCTTTTTATCTTGCAAATTACATGTGTTATTGATCTTTGTGCTAATAAGATGAAGTGTGGTTGTATTCATTTGTGTTTCATCATCGCTCTATCTCTTCTTTTATTTTTCATTCTTTCTTGGTTTCTTTCTCTGGTCTGTTTGACTCACGATCTTTCTTTCTTTTCCTACCTTTTGTTCTTTTTTGCTTTCATGGTCTGCGTGCCTCTCTTTGTTCTCTCTCTCCTTCTNTTGGTTTCTTTCTCTGGTCTGTTTGACTCACGATCTTTCTTTCTTTTCCTACCTTTCGTTCTTTTTTGCTTTCATGGTCTGCGTGCCTCTCTTTGTTCTCTCTCTCCTTCTCTCTTTAGGGGTTAGATGTGGGTTTGAAACCAAATTACAATTTGAGCTTTGGAAGTAGGCATGTTTTTGCGCAAGTAAAATGTTCTACCTGTACCTAAAGTTTGTTTAGCTCAAGCAATTTAAGTGCCATAATTGTCTCAATTTTTTGCTCTGCTTGGAAATATGATGGAGTTCGGGTCTTGTGAATCAATGAATTGGTTGTTTGAATGCATTATCTTTGTGATGATTCATATGAATTTATGTGCTTCGTATTTGCCATAAAAAGTTGACTGCCAAAAAATTGATGCATTTGTTTGCGACATGAGTTTTTGTTCAATCGATTCTATTTGGAATATTTTGAAATTGTAAGTTTTAATAATGCTTGGAATTTTGAATATTTGCTTTTATTAAATATTTTTTGAGGTTATGGCTTGTTTTGAAAAATCATTTGCATGTCATTCACAACATTGACCTCACTTAGATGACATTCATGCCTTGCCTTGCGCATAATGATCAAAATTTTGTTTCGGTGTATTATTTCGATCACCTAGAAAATGGAAATGTTTCGACGTGTTTCGAAAATATTTGATCAGTTTCGGAAATATAATAAAAAAAATAAAAAATTTAAGAATGATTTTTCAAAAGATCGGTTGAAATATGACAAAGTATCTTGAAATATCTTAAAACATTCTGAAAAATTGTGCAAATATATTGAAATATTACAAAACATCTCGAAACATTATGGAGTACTTCAAAATATTAAAATTTCAATTCCATCACTGATTCATTTCGGTCTCCTTATAAATAAAAATGATTCGAATGTTTTGACCATTTCAAAACAAAATTTTGATCCTTTCTTCCGCATACCTAAGTTGCAAGGGATGGAGGCGCATTAGTTTGCCTCAGTTCTTAAATAACAATGGTCTCTAAGCAGCAAGGAGTAGTTTAAATATATATCTCATACTCTCGTGTTCCAGAGCGTGTAGTTGGAAGCCTGATGTATGCCATGGTATGCACTCGATTAGATATTTTGTATGCAGTTAATGTGGTAAGCTGGTAAATTGCAATGCAAGCTGTGGTATGGTTGCAGAGGTATCTACAAGGGATTCTTGATAGAAGCTTGGTACTTCAGTAGACAATAGTTCAGAGTCTCACCTAAATAATGATGTGGATTTTGATGGCGTTGGTGACTAGGATAGGCAACTACCGTCAACAGACTATGTTTTTTCATTAGTTTGCTGGAGTTCTATGTTACAGCCAACAGTTGCTTTGTCGAGAATCGAGATACAGTGTGTTGTAATGACTCAGACCCTCAAAAACGTCAAGGAGGCTTTATATCTCTGGTGTGAGATTGGTGACTTGGGAAATTTTGCAACTCATTCTCTGTATTTTATGAAAGTCAAAGTGCTAGTTACTTGACAAAGCATCAAGTTCAACATGCCATAACGAAACATATGGCCGATAGTCTGATTAATTTGTTGACTAAAAGTAGTTCCAACAATCAAGCTCCAACGTTGGTTGGACTTGAGTAATATACTAAAAGTTTAGGCGCCATACGAAGCGCATTGGAGACAGTGATTAGAAAAATATGCTCCCAAATGGCTTGGGAGAAGCTTCAGGCAAAGGTGGAGCAGAGACATAATTTCTTAGCATAAAAACTCACCAATTTGTGTGCTACGCATGCAGCAGAGTGTCCTTTCTATTCTGAAATCGACATCAAATTTTGCTTCGTCCTATCAGGCACTTAAAATATATTTGTTTGTTATCCCTCCGAAGTTCACATTAAAGGAGAAGTTCAAGTAGAGTTTTAGACAATCCAGAATTGAGAGATTTCTGGCTTTGGAGAATTGAGTGATATGAGCAAGACATCAGTTGGAGAGTGCTTCACTTTTGTGAAGAGGGTGCTTGTGAGAGTAAGAATTCTGGTTCTTGTATTTGTACTCTTGTTTTTCCTCTATAGGGAAATTTTTTTATCATTTTGCCGTGGATGTACGCTATATTTTAATTTGCTGCTGAACCATGTAAAAAAGCTTGTGTCTTGGTTGGTATGCTTTTTATGTTTCCACTTAAAAAGCTTGTGTCTTGGTTGGTATGCTTTTTATGTTTCCACTTGATTTTAAGTGTTTCTATCTCGATACGATTCCTAGACTAAATTCTGCAACATGTTCCTTATCCACCATGTTTTGTCCCTTCCACACCAATAGTTTTAATTGCTTCGATCTTTTTTTGTCCTTTTGATTCATTGTATGTATATTCGCAAAGCCTCTTACTTGAAGGAGGAAAGAGTTGATGAGCTGAATTTGTTTTTTGGTGGGAGGACTTCCATACTAGACTTTTAATAGAAAACAGTTTCATATGGGGTGGAAAATCCAGTAAGATCAGTCCTCTTCACCAGCTAGTTCTAATTAGATTGCTATTAGTTTATCCTAAGATGATTAGTTGTTTTTGGGGGGAGCAATGTTGCCGTTTCCGCGATGGAATTTATAGTGACCTCTACATACGGCCATTATATGGTACGAGGCACAGTACTCGAATAGGAGGGTGCTTACTTTTGGATCTTCCTTGCTGCTTGCATATCTCTGTCTTTCTCATGCACAGTGATGGATTTGAACGAAAAAGCAAATATAACATTGTTATCCTAAATGCTACCCCATTAGAAATATCAACATGCTACACGTGAAGTTTCCAAATTCAACTCTGCTAGCTGTGCAAACACATACACCATGTCGATTACTGCCCTATCTCCACTTTTACACTGTGCTGCCAACTTGACAACCTTGTTAAATATGATTACCATGTGTAAAGGAAATCAAATTATGATCAGTGGTGGCCAGTACAGCTGCTTTATTCAGGAGTTAATTGGGAAACATACGGATAAACTTCACTATTATATATTTTTGGAAGTGCAGATGATTTATTTAAGTTTTGTTAAGTTCCATAGTAAGGGTGTTTTGGCCTACTTATGATCACCGTTTGTTAGTTGTTTGTTCATTCGGACATTTTTTTCTGCTTAACATGAACCTGGAATTGCTTTGGAAAATTGACTTGACTCTTGTTATTTTGGTGCTCCCGAGTAGTATTTATTCTCATGTACCACTTTCGTTGCTGCACCTTCCTCAGGTATACAAGTTTCATTCAACCTGTCACCGCATCCAAGCTATACAATGATGTATGCCCTGTCTCTTTCACAATCTCATTCTGTGACCATTTTTCGGTTTTCGGTATGAACAGACTGCTTTGATTATGTTGCAGGTTAAGTCGCACAAAGATCTTGTGCACTTCGAAACGGCTTACGTTGTCAAACTCCACCGTGTAGCAAGGCTTTCTCCCTCCCAACCCGTAAGATTTTTTCTAATACCATGCTTACAATAATTCCATTATAGTTCTAGCTCTTGGGCAGTGAATTCAAATCCATTCCAGCAACTTACATGCATCTCGGTTTGCACTTGCATAGGTTTTTACATTCACCCATCCAAATTACTCAACTAAGAAAAGCAATCATCGCTATAAGAAGCTTCAATTTGAGATATCCCGTGACACTGGATCAGCTATGGTTCATGGTATGTGGTTCCAAAGCTTTGGTACTTTGACTTTTATGCTCTGCATGTGAAGCAAAGTTTCACTGAAACATGTACTATTTTTAGAGAACTATGGAACTTTGAAAGTATAGTATGTCATTAATTTTTTTATTCTTTACCAAATTGTTGGAAAATGTGAACACGTGATGGCGCCTATGTTGAATTTTTCTTGAATTTGGAAAGTTTCTCTTAGGCACTTTGGTAACTAGGCCAAGCCAACACCTATAAGTTGGTTTTTGTGTTATTTCTTTCTTTCCTTTTTGGTGTTGGTGGGCAACTAGAGTGAGTCTGTGTTTGATTCTTGTTGCCGGTTGAAAACAAGAGGGGGCAAGAGACACGTTTTCAGTGTGTGAAGTTGATTATCTTTGAGGACGAAAAACCAAAGAAAGAAGTAACAAATGATGATGTGCATAATCAATGATAACAGAATCACTACTACCATATCATTTGGAATAATTAAAAAAAAACAATAAACAAGTGATACACATGTATTTGTGATTGTTAGATTTTTCTAGGCTAGATGTTTCGCCTTGTTTCTACCAAAGGATTGAAATTTCGTTTTGAAGTACCGTTTTGGTCTGTTCAAAAACAGAAACGTTTCGGAAACGCAATGGAATCGTAGAAAATAATGAAAACAGGTGGAAACACAAATGCAATTCATTTATTTATAAAGATAAGCTAAATAATTGATTAATTCAACATATTTCTTTGGTTAATATCCATTTATACAAGAATAAATTAAAATTGGAGGGAAAAAAGGCTTGACATAAGGCGAAAATCACTTAAATTAGTTTCAAACACTTAATTTTCATCAAATAAACACATTTTTGCATAATGTTAAGGTCTCATAATACACATGAAATGCTAATAAGTACATACTTACATGGCCATATCCATCTCCTGTGGAGTGTCGAGTGGACTCATACATCGGTGTAGGCTCTGGGTAGCTACTTAGAGAAACTCTATGTGACAAATATGATGACAATAGTTACTCTAACTCATATTATTACGATAATATGAATTATACTCTCTCCCAAACATCTGATAGTTTGCAACACTACACCAAATTTGTTGGGGAACGAATGTACCTGTCCCTGGCCAACTTTCATCTTGTCTATATGAGGAGGATGTTTGGGAGTCATAGCCATATCCATAATCATATGTTGAGGATCCATATTCGTATCCTCGTGTGTCATACCCCGATCCATAATCATATGAAGACGACGAACTATAATTATGGTGTTCACTTCCACTTATACTCATAGTAGAAAAATCATCATTAATCATATCAGCTCCATGCCTAATAGCACCCATACCATGTGGATCGATTGGATTTTGAGTATGCTCACGTTGACGATCTTGATTTGATTTTGAACGTCGTTCATATTGAAGCATTCGTCGATAGCCACGATCTTCATTTTTTGTAGCATGTGTAAATTCTTCCTCTATAGTGAATACAATTCCATGTGAACTTTGGCTTCCCGTACCTCCATCACCACCACCTCCATTGCCTCCATGTCCATGACTATCACCACCTCTGCTGTCACCATCTCCACTACCACCACCACCACCTTTATCATCATCTTCACCACCATCATCATTGCTACCATCACCATTATGATCATCTTCAGTACTACTAGTGATCGTGATAGGTTGCTTACGTCTTGGTGGACTTCTCATTAGTCTGTCAAACTCCATCATCCATTGCTTTACTTTATCATTCTCTACTTGTTTAGATCTTGATTTTCGTGGTGGCACAATACCTTGACTTAGGCTTACGCCTCCCTCGTCATTGGAAAAACGATTTGTCCACATTGCCAGGAAAGTGTTTGGTCTTGTTGGTTGTCTATCATCATCAAGTTCATCTAAAAATGCATCACCAGGATCATTTAACCACTCTGAAATACCTTTGTCTTCCTCAAAAACAGTGGTTAAGTCTATAGGTCTGAATTTATACCCTTTTTGTCATTCATAAGGTGCATTAACTTCAACCTTATGTTATATTTCAGAAACACCAACCTTCCTAACTTTTGATAATTGAGTCGATTCCGCACTTTAGTATGAATGAGAGCAAATGTCCTTCATAAGGTGCGTTAACTTCAACCTCATGTTATGTTGTGCAAACACCAGTATTTCTAACTTTTGATAATTGAGTCGATTCCGCATTTTAGTATGAATGAGAGCAAATGTGCTCCAAATTCTCTCACAACCACTAGATGAGGTTGTTTGTGACAATATTCTCATAGTAATTTTTCTCAAATTTGGAGTATCAGTGCCATACATAAACCACCATTCTGCTGCATAATAATAAGAAACATATTAAAATTTTAAAGAAAAATATAAATAGAAATTCATGAGAACAAAATATGAGTGTGTAAATAATCTACTTAATTATCAGTGTCACATTTTGTTCATCCTCTAATTGCAGCTTGGTCAGCAAAACAATACATGATGTCCCGAAATATTTTTACCTAAATATCATGGATATGTTGATGTTATTATTAATTTAGCACAATTGAGATTAAAATACTAAAGTATTACCTTTGCATGTGCTTTAGCAGCCTTGTTTGGATTTGTGTCTAATTTAGACACAACGATCCAAAGTGAACCTAACAAATTTTCTAACACACCAACATGTTCTTCATAATGGTATGTGGGGTTCAAGTAATAAGCTATACAATATAAATAATGATGACACTTATAAATGATAATATCCAAAATGATAACACTTATCAATAATAAAAATATAAATTGGTAAACAATAAGTTTACCAGCCATATGAATATGTTGAATGATTTATTTTTTTCATCGAGCATCAATGATGTCAAGATATTTTTTGCATAATTTAGGAGCCGTGTTTTTGACAGCTTGTCTTGCTCGTTTCATTTCTTCATATACAAATGACATTGCTGCTTTTCTTTCCTCATCTACCATTCTTAGAACTCTTGCAATTGGTGTATGCATATTCAACACATTTTTGGCGTTCTCCCAAAACTTAGGATTTAGAATTGCCCCTCGAACTCATTTTCTAACTGGATCCTTTGCTGCCGCAGTCCTAGACCAATTTTCTAAAGTAAACATTCTTTGCAAGCCATTTTTCTGTTCCAAAATACATTGTAGAACAATATAATTAGTGGCAAATCTTGTTTGCCCCGACCAAATCAATTCTCTCGAACAAAATATTCTCATTATATTCAAGACTCTATTATGATTTTAAATGAAATTGGTCACTCTTTTAGCTTGCTTTNTTATATTCAAGACTCTATTATGATTTTAAATGAAATTGATCACTCTTTTAGCTTGCTTTAGCACATTTCGCCAGTGTTTTTGTACGCACTTCCATTGTCAGTAATAATCTGAATCACATATTTCTCTCCAATCTACTCAACAACAGCATCCATCAACCTCAAAATATAGTTAACATCCTTGTCATGACCAGAACTATCAATTGATTTGTGGAAGACAACTTTTCCATCATAATATATCAAGAAGTTAATAATAGATAATCTTGTGGTGGATGTCCATCCATCACACATGATTGTCACTTCATAAATCTCCCATTTTTTTTAACTGGTCAATGTACTCTTTAAACTCATCTATCTCATTATCTAGTAATGACCCGCCAATCTCTTATGGGGTTGACCCTTTCACACTCACTCCTGCTAAAATAATTTCATCAATCATCAATTGATGGATGCGCCCCAAATTCGAGATCCAATAGTAGAGTTATAGTAGAATTGCAACAAGGTGCATTGGAAGTGTGGGACTATAACGATGACCTTTTGGATATGTGAATGACCGAGTAAAACACTTCATAGCAAGGGAATCAANAATATTTTTACCTAAATATCATGGATATGTTGATGTTATATATTAATTTAGCACAACTGAGATTAAAATACTAAAGTATTACCTTTGCATGTGCTTTAGCAGCCTTGTTTGGATTTGTGTCTAATTTAGACACAACGATCCAAAGTGAACCTAACAAATTTTCTAACACACCAACATGTTCTTCATAATGGTATGTGGGGTTCAAGTAATAAGCTATACAATATAAATAATGATAACACTTATAAATGATAATATCCAAAATGATAACACTTATCAATAATAAAAATATAAATTGGTAAACAATAAGTTTACCAGCCATATGAATATGTTGAATGATTTATTTTTTCCATCGAACATCAATGATGTCAAGATATTTTTTGCATAATTTAGGAGCCGTGTTTTTGACAGCTTGTCTTGCTCGTTTCATTTCTTCATATACAAATGACATTGCTGCTTTTCTTTCCTCATCTACCATTCTTAGAACTCGTGCAATTGGTGTATGCATATTCAACACATTTTTGGCGTTCTCCCAAAACTTAGGATTTAGAATTGCCCCTCGAACTCATTTTCTAACTGGATCCTTTGCTGCCGCAGTCCTAGACCAATTTTCTAAAGTAAACATTCTTTGCAAGTTATTTTTCTGTTCCAAAATACATTGTAGAACAATATAATTAGTGGCAAATCTTGTTTGCCCCGACCAAATCAATTCTCTCGAACAAAATATTCTCATTATATTCAAGACTCTATTATGATTTTAAATGAAATTGATCACTCTTTTAGCTTGCTTTAGCACATTTCGCCAGTGTTTTTGTACGCACTTCCATTGTCAGTAATAATCTGAATCACATATTTCTCTCCAATCTACTCAACAACAGCATCCATCAACCTCAAAATATAGTTAACATCCTTGTCATGACCAGAACTATCAATTGATTTGTGGAAGACAACTTTTCCATCATAATATATCAAGAAGTTAATAATAGATAATCTTGTGGTGGATGTCCATCCATCACACATGATTGTCACTTCATAAATCTCCCATTTTTTTTAACTGGTCAATGTACTCTTTAAACTCATCTATCTCATTATCTAGTAATGACCCGCCAATCTCTTATGGGGTTGACCCTTTCACACTCACTCCTGCTAAAATAATTTCAT